TGCCCCGAAAATGCACGTGGGTCACATGGTTGCACTGATGGCTGCCATCTTGAGCTGTTCAGTTCCACTTTGGATCAAGCTGCCTTGCTTGATCGATTTTCCTTTCAGCCTCGAGTGTGGCCATGAGCTGACCCAAACATTCCAAGTCCAGGTTGAAAGGCAATAGGACCCAAGAACACCCTTGTTCAGGGGTGAGCCTCTTCCAGGTGCCCAATCCTGGATCCAGGCAATACCTGATTCATTGTCAAGGGCTCTGGAAGAGGCGCTGTTTTGGTTGCCCCCTTTGGAAACACTGCTCACAAAAGCCCTCGCTTCACTAAGCAAACCTCACCTGAAGACCCATCCCCCTGGCGAGGGCTCAAGTGGGGTCTTGACACAGACAAAGCAATTGCTGCCCTCTAGTGGCCTAAAGGGACAGGTACTGGGGAGAGTGTGACAGAATAGTATAAGTTAAGGTCTGTGCATGGGAAGCAAAGTCAAGAGGAGAGAGTGCCTCACGGTTGCTTTTCCCCTTTTTATTAAAAATAGACCCAAACACTTTATGTATCATACAAAAGTTTCGTTCGCTGGTGGCAGCCACGAGGAAGCCTGGCCCCGTGGCACTGATGTCCCACCTCCCCTCCAAGGGACTGGGTCCCAGGGAGCAGTGGCTGGGCCTCAGAATGCCCGTACGGACTGCTCGCTCTGGAAACAGCCAGTGGGGGGTGGGGGCTGTTCCAGCAGCAGCTTCTCCCACCCCACCCCCTGGCGAAAGTCACGTACTCGAAAGTGCCTCTTTAGTGCCAAGATAAACTAACAAGTGGAGTAAAATGGAAACCCCTGTGATTCTTTCATTTCCCAGGGCCTGGGATCTGGGATTTCTTTCCTTCCACCCCCGAATGCTTTCTCCTACAAACAGGGGTGGGAAACTTCACCCTCAGACTCCGGTGTGTCGCAGTGTCTGAAGCCAAGATTTCACTCCCAACTCGAGCCCCTTCTCACCTGCTATTCTGTGGGCTGGGATCTACCAGCCCCATGCCTCAAAACTTGTCCTCCGTTCACTCAAAAAGAGTTTGGGGCAGAAACGGGTCCTCCCTTGGTCCTCTGCCTGATCTCCGCCCTGCCCTCACCTCCATTTTCAGGATCTTAGGGCTAGGAGAACCCGCAACCATCCCCTTTCCCCAGTTCTGGCTCTCCCTGACTGCTGCCCACTCCTGAGCCTTGAACACCCCTGGGGTACCCCAGACCCCTGTTCCAAAGGGGCCTGGGGGTGATGCGGGGGAGGGGTGCCGGGAGCTGGGTTCCCCCCAGGGGTGGGGCAGTACTCATGCTGGTATGGACTGCTTTGCAGGGCCCGGGGACGGGTGCGGGGAGGGTGGGCATGCGGAGGAAGGGCACAGCCTGCCTGAGCCCCTCAGTCCCAGCCGTTGTCCTTCACCATGTGTGACATTTCAATGATGTACTTCCCCTCCTTGTACTTCTGGCTCGTCTCAAAAGCCTGCTCCTGGTGGAGGGGAAGCAGTGAAAGCAGGACAAAGCAGACCCCCTCCAGGACCTACTACTGCTGTACTACCCCTGCCTCCCAAGAGCCCCCCCCCCCC